AAAGTGAGTGAGAATCAGAGTGAAAGTGTGAGTCTGAGTGTGTGAGAGTCAGAATGAGAGTTAGAATGAAAGGGAAAGGGAAAGGGAAAGGGAAGGGGAAGGGGAAAGGGAAAGGGAAAGGGAAAGGGAAAGGGAAAGGGAAGGGGAAGGGGAAGGGGAAGGGGAAGGGGAAAGGGATAGGGAAAGGGATAGGTAAAGGGATAGGGAAAGGGAAAGGGAAAGGGAGAGGGAAAGGGAAAGGGAAAGGGAAAGGGAAAGGGATAGGGATAGGGAAGGGATAGGGAAAGGGATAGGGAAAGGGAAAGGGAAAGGGAGAGGGAAAGGGAAAGGGAAAGGGAAAGGGAAAGGGATAGGGATAGGGATAGGGATAGGGAAAGGGAGAGGGAAAGGGAAAGGGAAAGGGAAAGGGATAGGGATAGGGATAGGGATAGGGATAGGGATAGGGATAGGGAAAGGGAGAGGGAGAGGGAAATGGAAGGGGAAAGAGAAAGGGAAAGGGAAAGGGAAAGGGAAAGGGAAAGGGAAAGGGAAAGGGAAAGGGAAAGGGAAAGGCAAAGGGAAAGGGAAAGGGAGAGGGAAATGGAAGGGGAAAGAGAAAGGGAAAGGGAAAGGGAAAGGGAAAGGGAAAGGGAAAGGGAAAGGGAAAGGGAAAGGGAGAGGGAGAGGGAGTGCAAAATAACTGAAGCATTATGAAGTTAAGTAACATAATGTACTGATGAAATTGTGATTTGCCTGCTTTTAATTTTTTTTACACTTTTTTTCTTAACTGAATTTTCGTAATTTGTAACATCTTTAAGTCAGTAAAGACTGTACATGCCACAAATAAGAATATTTTGAACCATAATAAAGGGTATTTAGAAACAGTCCCTCTGTTGACCAAAGCATTGTTTTATCAGCATTAAATTTCTGCTAATAATATAGTTAAATTGTACAATAAATTATCTTTTTGCTCATGTGATCATGCAGTATAATCAAGAAAGCCACATTCAATTTCTTGGGATTGCGCATCCCTACTGCTTATATGTATTTGACTTTTATCATCTTATGGTCACAATTTATAGAAAGAAAACATGTGACATGGTACAGCTCAACATAACTTCTCAATCTTAGTATTCTCTCTTGAACCTTTCCCTGCTCAGCCTCAAGAAGATGACCTTAATCTAGGTGCCTTGGATCTTCAAAATCTAAATAATGCTCACTGGGTGAATTTGAGTAGGATGGGTCCCAGACTAATGGACATAAAATATATGCTAGAATTTTAATATTTTCAAAATATTCCCTACATTTCTTAAAATGACAACATAAATCATTAAATTATTTGTATGTTTGACAGGGGTTGCCAGCAGCAACAAAGCATAAATTTATGTTGTTCTGACCATCATGAGGTGTGAATCCCTACCTACTGCCTTACCTCAACCTATCCATCACATCACATCATATCACATCACATCACATACATATAAATGTGCATATACTCCCTGCTTGGAGTAATCTCTTGTCCAGGTCAGAAGGTCATTGTGCAGAGTGGTTTGCTACTATCCACACAGGAATATGGGAATATGCTTAGGTAATAAACTGGTCTTACATGACAAACTCTCTCACAAGGGAGCACATGTATATATACACATACAAATGTGTGCATATACACATACATATATAAATCATAGACCTCATGAATCAGGTGTCATTCTGATAGATAGGATTGATAGTAAGGTAGAGGTGAGGTCCAGGGCCCATAGCTTGGGTGGTTGTTATACTGCATTAGTTACATAACATTTTCTTGAATATTTCAAAAATGCATAAGCTAAGGAGCAACACATGTATTTCAATTAATTATTTTCAATATTGTCCATGTCGGCGTACTATCATAACAAGCACAAAGTATGCATTTATTCTATAGAATGGTAGGAAATTTGTTGTAGCATATATACTACATGGTCAATTCACCGGCAAAAAGGTTTTGTAGTATATATACTACAGGGACAGGCAAGGGCTGGACAAACTTTTCCTTTAATAGACTTACTGACCAAATTCAAACAGGGGGAGGAGTTGGGGAGTAACTTAAGGTAGATCAATGTGGGGTTTATCTTCCAATGGCTCTTATAGATTGATATATAAATTACATCTACTTACTCTAATTCCCTTCATCCCAACAAGGATTCTACATGGATATTTTAATACAGAAGGCAAATACTATGGATGAAATTCTGTAAAAGTCCAACGGACAGTGAAACATAAGAAACCTAGTTGTTGGGACCAAAAACTGACATGTACGAGACTGACTACATCACTCACATGTGCTTTCTCCTGTGCTTGAGCTGCTCGTTTTTGAGCAAGAAGAACCTTTGCTCTCTCTACTCTTTCTTCCAAGCTGACTGAATCATCTATAGCTTCACTGTCATTTTCTTCATGTTCTGTGTAAAGATAATATATAATCATAATAATTATAAATATACATGCATATATTTTGGGAAAACAAACAATTCAACTGCAAATTCTCCAAAACAGCTATGTACAACTGAGGTTTTAGAGAGGAATACAATGTTACAAGCTCTATTCAAGCTAGACAACTCAATTATTCCTTTAAATACCAAAAATATTATGATTACAAATAAATATCTTAAGACATCAATACAAAATAAGTTACAAAATTTATGAAATGTTTTCCCACTTCAATATATCTGAACACACCTGGGGTTCCTGAATCATCTTGAATTCCTGAGTCTGGGGTTACATTTGCCTCAGACTTATTTTCATTGCCTAAGCCGGACGGGGATGCTTGGTCGTCAGGGGTTGACTCTTTTGGTGACTGAATCAAGGCAATGGCAGAGGCTGCACCTTCCTCTGTCGAGTTTGGTTTATCTTCTTCCTGTTCATGTTGACTACTGGAGTTCTGTGTGTCAGCCTCTTTCACATTTTCATTAGCTGTCACAGCAGCACTGGCACCCTGAGACATTACAAAACACTTTTTAAAACGAAACTTGAAGTTACCATATGTTTCATTATAATATACCTTTGATGCCAAATATGAATCATGCAAGTGTGTATACATGTGCATGCAAGTGTGTATACATGTGCATGCAAGTGTGTATACATGTGCATGCAAGTGTGTATACATGTGCATGCAAGTGTGTATACATGTGCATGCAAGTGTGTATACATGTGCATGCAAGTGTGTATACATGTGCATGCAAGTGTGTATACATGTGCATGCAAGTGTGTATACATGTGCATGCAAGTGTGTATACATGTGCATGCAAGTGTGTATACATGTGCATGCAAGTGTGTATACATGTGCATGCAAGTGTGTATACATGTGCATGCAAGTGTGTATACATGTGCATGCAAGTGTGTATACATGTGCATGCAAGTGTGTATACATGTGCATGCAAGTGTGTATACATGTGCATGCAAGTGTGTATACATGTGCATGCAAGTGTGTATACATGTGCATGCAAGTGTGTATACATGTGCATGCAAGTGTGTATACATGTGCATGCAAGTGTGTATACATGTGCATGCAAGTGTGTATACATGTGCATGCAAGTGTGTATACATGTGCATGCAAGTGTGTATACATGTGCATGCAAGTGTGTATACATGTGCATGCAAGTGTGTATACATGTGCATGCAAGTGTGTATACATGTGCATGCAAGTGTGTATACATGTGCATGCAAGTGTGTATACATGTGCATGCAAGTGTGTATACATGTGCATGCAAGTGTGTATACATGTGCATGCAAGTGTGTATACATGTGCATGCAAGTGTGTATACATGTGCATGCAAGTGTGTATACATGTGCATGCAAGTGTGTATACATGTGCATGCAAGTGTGTATACATGTGCATGCAAGTGTGTATACATGTGCATGCAAGTGTGTATACATGTGCATGCAAGTGTGTATACATGTGCATGCAAGTGTGTATACATGTGCATGCAAGTGTGTATACATGTGCATGCAAGTGTGTATACATGTGCATGCAAGTGTGTATACATGTGCATGCAAGTGTGTATACATGTGCATGCAAGTGTGTATACATGTGCATGCAAGTGTGTATACATGTGCATGCAAGTGTGTATACATGTGCATGCAAGTGTGTATACATGTGCATGCAAGTGTGTATACATGTGCATGCAAGTGTGTATACATGTGCATGCAAGTGTGTATACATGTGCATGCAAGTGTGTATACATGTGCATGCAAGTGTGTATACATGTGCATGCAAGTGTGTATACATGTGCATGCAAGTGTGTATACATGTGCATGCAAGTGTGTATACATGTGCATGCAAGTGTGTATACATGTGCATGCAAGTGTGTATACATGTGCATGCAAGTGTGTATACATGTGCATGCAAGTGTGTATACATGTGCATGCAAGTGTGTATACATGTGCATGCAAGTGTGTATACATGTGCGTGTAAGTGTGTATACATGTGCATGCAAGTGTGTATACATGTGCATGCAAGTGTGTATACATGTGCATGCAAGTGTGTATACATGTGCATGTGAGTGTGTAAGCATGTGTGTGTGTGTGTGTAAGCATGTGTGTGTGTGTGTTGTGTGTGTGTGTGTGTAAGCATGTGTGTGTGTGTGTGTAAGCATGTGCCCATCTATATGCATGTGCCCATCTATATGCATGTGCCCATCTATATGCATGTGCCCATCTGTATGCATGTGCCCATCTGTATGCATGTGCCCATCTATATGCATGTGCCCATCTATATGCATGTGCCCATCTGTATGCATGTGCCCATCTATATGCATGTGCCCATCTGTATGCATGTGCCCATCTATATGCATGTGCCCATCTGTATGCATGTGCACGTGCAGGTGCATGTGCAGGTGCATGTGCAGGTGCATGTGCAGGTGCATGTGCAGGTGCATGTGCAGGTGCATGTGCAGGTGCATGTGCACATGCAGGTGCATGTGCACGTGCAGGTGCATGTGCAGGTGCATGTGCAGGTGCATGTGCAGGTGCATGTGCAGGTGCATGTGCAGGTGCATGTGCAGGTGCATGTGCAGGTGCATGTGCAGGTGCATGTGCAGGTGCATGTGCAGGTGCATGTGCAGGTGCATGTGCAGGTGCATGTGCAGGTGCATGTGCAGGTGCATGTGCAGGTGCATGTGCAGGTGCATGTGCAGGTGCATGTGCAGGTGCATGTGCACGTGCAGGTGCATGTGCAGGTGCATGTGCAGGTGCATGTGCAGGTGCATGTGCAGGTGCATGTGCAGGTGCATGTGCAGGTGCATGTGCACGTGCAGGTGCATGTGCACGTGCAGGTGCATGTGCAGGTGCATGTGCAGGTTGCGTGTAAGCGTGTGTGTATATGTGCATGTGTATGTGCATGTATGCATGTGCACGTGAGTGTGTATGCATGTGCGTGTAAGTGTGTATGCATGTGCGTGTAAGTGTGTATACATGTGCATGCAAGTGTGTATACATGTGCGTGTAAGTGTGTATGCATGTGCGTGTGAGTGTGTATGCATGTGCGTGTAAGTGTGTATGCATGTGCGTGTAAGTGTGTATGCATGTGCGTGTAAGTGTGTATACATGTGCATGCAAGTGTGTATACATGTGCATGCAAGTGTGTATACATGTGCATGTGAGTGTGTAAGCATGTGTGAGTGTGTGTGTAAGCATGTGTGTGTGTGTGTGTGTGTGTAAGCATGTGTGTGTGTGTATATGCATGTGCCCATCTATATGCATGTGCCCATCTGTATGCATGTGCCCATCTGTATGCATATGCCCATGTGTATGCATGTGCCCATGTGTATGCATGTGCCCATCTGTATGCATGTGCCCATCTGTACGCATGAGTATATGAGCTGCTCTGTGTCTGTCTTATGTGTTGTGTCCATGTTTGTTTGTAGGTGTTTGTGTCTGTGTCTGTGTCTCTGAGTATCTCAGTCTGTCTCTGTGATATAATAGCATACCTGATTTTCTTCAGGAACCAAGGAGGTGAGCTTCTGCCTTATAGTATCTTTAGTAAGTGGTCCTCCAAGAACTTCTAATGGTAATCCTGTCTGACCACTAATGAAAAACAGCGACGGAACAAGCACCAAAGGATCTGGGAGTCGTTAATCAAGGAAGAAACACGTCCACAAAAATATTTCTTTGCTGAATTACTTTCCTAAACAAATAAAATTACAGCTGATATCTAAATACAGAGGTGACAGTGCTATCTTCTATTCTAGGAAATCAATTACAAATATATTACAAAAGTTTTACTATTTGCAACTCAAATACCAAAAAAAACATTAAACAAGTTAGATACGTAGGACTAGTGATTGATTCCTTGTTAACTTAGCACTTGCAAATCCATCTACATGTAAATACAGTTAATAAACTAGACTCGTAATGGCCATGGTATGTCTGTACATGCCATCAATTAAAAACAAATTTCCATGGAACATATACCAATTTCTAATATGCCAATTTAATTATAGTACCAACCAAGATAAAATTCCAGAATAATATGTAACATCATGAGATACATGAAATGCATCTCTTTGGTATTCATATCCACTAACCATTATTTTAAAACTAATCATACCTTCCACAAGTATTCCAAACATTCATGTAACACTTTTACAAACTGATATAGTTACCTTTGACCTCTACTTATTGAGCACATTATACATTTTTTATTTGCAGAGCACAGTTGAAGAAGGCATACAAGTCCAAAGGTCTTTTCCAACCAACTGGCTGAAAATATGTTTACTGTTTTGTTGCATTAAACATTTATCTATAACACAATCATAGATGCTGTTCACATTAATGCACTTCAACCATGATATAGTAGTATATCAATGTGAACATATCAATGCATATGTTATTGATGAATGTTTGAACTTACAAAACATTTAATATACATATTTCAGCCAGTTGGCCTGAAAACACCTTTGGACATGAATAATTCATTTCATTCTTAGTCTCTACCTGCTGCTTGCTGAAGTTTCTTTCATTAAGGTCTAAAACCAATAGCTCTACTAATACTGCCCAATTTTTACAAGTTAACTTAACCCATTCGCCACATATGGCAAGAATAGATGCCATACCCACTTTGATACACGTTTATTTATTGTATTTACACATAGATGGCTCCACAAGTTTTTAATCATCAGATAGCCAGTTATCATGAACTACCTAATTCACCTGTTTACCCTTTTCCTTCACTTTAGGAAAGTTTTTTTTGTATCATTTCATTGTCAAAAATATTCTAATGACAATTCAATAAGCCTAACATCAATAACAATAATAACAGTATCGAAAGCAATGGTATTAGTTTTCCCGCCAGTTCAATGAATGGGAAAATCAGGGTCGGTAACTAGGGCCTACTGATAGACTCCTTGCCGGCTGAGCACATGTGGAGCCATCTGTAGGTAACAAAATTCATAGACTCCTTGCCGGCTGAGCACATGTGGAGCCATCTGTAGGTAACAAAATTCACTAAAAACTACAGGGGACAGAACATAAATCCGTGGCGAATAGGTTAACTGTCTTAAAAACTGGAAACACAGTCTTCCTCATGGTTTATGATGTGATTCATCTGTGGGGTTGATGAGCCATGCTTGTGATATAACCAGGGCATTCATAAACCTAATAGAGAAAACCTGTTTTCTTATTATTAAATTTGTGTTAAACATGTCAAAAGCAATCATCAAAAACCCTAAGCAATTTCAGCATTACTTTACCCTCTTGGGCCACTTGCAGTTAATTTTACCTAAACTAACCCAATCTCATACACCGTGACCCAACCCAACCCAGCTGAAAGTACACTGTTACTTATCTAGTATCGCATGGTAACAATATGATGCATTCTTAAAAAGGATACAGATCTGAGAAAACTGCAAGGCACTTTCAGTACCATTCTCAAGCTTAATTGCTACGAACTTATTTGAACTCAAGACTGCTGATATATCTGTGTCTACAAGGACTTCATCAGTAGCTTTTGAAGCATCTGATGAATCTGGAAAGACAAAGAAGAGAAGGTCACAATTATACTGTTAATCATACATAGGTCCTTTTATTTGAAAGAGTAAATTTCATACACTGACTTTTTTATACCAGTAAAAAAGAAAAATAACAATTTAGGCAACTGCTTTACATTTTCTCTGATATATTGATCACTAATTTTATTGGGACAAGATGTACTGAAGAGAAAATACTTTAGGTTATCCTTTAATATACAACAGTATGTTTCTGTAATATGAATAATTAAAAAAAGAACAAAAAAGCCTCTTATTCAAATCCAGTTTTCTCAAATAGTCTACTACACTTTACATCAATGGGGCAGGCCAACAGCCCTAATGCATAATGCACTTTGAAAATAGTTTGATTTTCTTTTAAGAACTATCTAAAACCTAGATGCTGTTCTCAAGTTTTTAATTTTCTTAATTACTATTTTTTTAATGCAATTTTACATTTTGAATTTTTAAAGCCATTTTACATTGACTAAAATGAAACTAAAAAGACCATAAAACAACTGCTCCAAGACAATGAACTGTTCTACCAAAGTACAAATCAAAGCAAGTATGAATATTTTTCAAAGAATATAAAAAATAAAATATTACAATTTGAAAAAATAATAAACTACAGCATAAGTTATCAGATATTAACAAAAAAAAATTAAAATCATCCTGATGCATGACCACATGGAAAGCTTGTCATACCTAAATTGTTGCAAGTGTCAGTTCTTCTTTTGAGGCTTAAGTTTTGCCACTTAACATACAAGAGGAAAAGCAGAGTTGTCTTTGTACATTCATAACTATATATGTATGTATGTATGTATGTATGTATGTATGTATGTATGTATGTATGTATGTATGTATGTATGTATGTATGTTTGTATGTTTGTATGTTTCTATGTTTGTATGTATGTGTGTATGTATGTATGTATGTATGTATGTATGTATGTATGTATGTATGTATGTATGTATGTATGTATGTATGTATTCGTATGTATGTATGTATTCGTATGTATGTATGTATTCGTATGTATGTATGTATGTATTCGCATGTATGTATGTATGTATTCGCATGTATGTATGTATGTATTCACATGTATGTATGTATGTATTAGTATGTATGTATTCGCATGCATGTATGTATGTATGTATTTGTATGTATGTATGTATTCGCATGCATGTATGTATGTATGTATTTGTATGTATGTATGTATTTGTATGTATGTATGTATTCGTATGTATGTATTTGTATGTATGTATTGTATGTATTGTATGTGCATACATATGTATGCACATATGTATGCACATATGTATGCACATATGTATGTATACATGTATGTATATATGTATATATGTATGTATGTATGTATGTATGTATGTATGTATGTATGTATGTATGTATGTATGTATGTATGTATGTATGTATGCAAGGAAAGTCTACATTAACAACTTACCATACACATATACCACAAATATGGCATTCTGTGTTTTGGCTGAACTAATAGCCTCTGGAATACTTCCTCCAAACCACTTCATTCTTGCTCAGTATTAACCACTAAAAGCAACTTGCTGAAAATAGATTAATTAGAAATAAATATAAATGGTTTTGACTCAGGTCTCAATTTGTAGAAATAATATTGGTGATGATGTCCATACTGTTTAAATACGAACATGATACAGAAGGTAATTGGTGGGGTGTTTAGAAGACAGTCACAGCAATAATCATCAAATTATCACCACATATATGCCAGTGAGGAAGATTATGTAGACCTCCCTGCCAATTCATCTCCTTATAAGGAACCAGTCCAGGATCTACCTTCCCAAAATATACATGATGGAGGTATGTTAACTTTTGTCAGAGTGCAAAGTAATTGACTTTATTGGGCTACAGGCTACAGAAAATTTTGGTTGGATGGTAATAGCATACAAGCAATATAATTACAAGAGAAAAATCAATTTTGAAATCTTGTACATATAGTAAATAGTTGCCTTAACCCATTCGCCCCACGTGGCAAGAATAGATGCCATACCCACTTTGATAGATGTTTATTTATTGCATTTACACATAGATAGCTCCACAAGTTCTTAATCACCAAATAGCCAGTTATGAAGAACTACCTATTTCACCTGTTTACCCTTTTCCTTCACTTTAGGAAAGGATTTTTTACATCATTTCATTGTCTAAAATATTCTAATGACAATTTAATAATCATAACATCAATAACAATAATAACAGTATCGATATCAATGGTATTAATATTCTCGCCAATTCAATGAATGGGAAAATCAGGGTCGGTAACTAGGGCCTACTGATAGACTCCTTGGCAGCTGAGCACACGTGGAGCCATCTGTATGTAACAAAATTCACCAAAAACTACAGGAGACAGAACATAAATCCGGGCGAATGGGTTAAATGTTAAAATCCTACATGCTGAATGAATTGCATACAGCCAGGCTGAAAATAAAAGAACTATTCCTAGAAGACTGCAATTTACTACCACAAACATGATGTCATGCACTCAATAACTGATTGTCATAGGGATCACCCGTATTTTTCCTTATTTTCATCAGCGTACAAACCACACGCAGGGGGGAGAGGGGCAATTAACCCTAGCTGGCAGGCATATGAATTTACTTTATTAATTGTTTTTACACACAGATGGCTACACTTGCACTAAGTCACCAATGAGCCAATTATGAGTACTGGCTGTCATACCTGTTTTCCTTGATTTTCGAAAATATATTACTCTAGCTTATAAAAGTTGTTACTAATGTTTATAACATTACAGTAATTATAATGTCTATAATAAAAATAACACCATCAATATTCATAGCATTTGTAAAAAAAAAAAAATCTGTGTGCAGACATATTTCACAAAAAAAAATAATAATAATAATAAAAAACGAGCACAGCATTTTCCCGCCAGCACTAGGTTAAAACGACGATCCAGATATAACTAAAAATTAAATATTATCTATTGCCCTCATATTGTACTGCTAAAATCAAGACTGGAAGGTGTGCAGCAGATGAGATTTCTTATTTCAAGCACAAAGATTCATACATATTTGTTCTAGAATTTATTTCACTCTCATGATGAAAGTTCCATGGCCAAAGACAGGAATCCATCATTAATTATATAAGTCAATACAAGGTGTCCTATAATGGTGCCTGCTAGAATCTATCAACATTAATGCATTTAGACACTGGAGTTCCTGCGGCAGAGGTTTTTATCTCAGCTTTGTACACTCTGGAGGGGGGGGGATGAGGGGGTCTTGGGAAAAGAATGCCTTCATTGCAATCATGAAAATCATGAAAAAATAGAAAACCCTAAGCTCACTGTTCCAGCAACCATGGTTTAACAATCCTGAGTCTCTTTTATAGAGATTGAGCAAGACATTCACTTAGTTCTGCAGCAATCTTTGAGCTTTTAGCAATTTCTTGCAAACGCAAACATTTAAACTGCATTTGGTAAACTGAGGCATATGAATTTACTTTATTAATTGTTTTTACACACAGATGGCTCCACTGTGTCACCAATGAGCCAATTATGAGTACTGGCTGTCATACCTGTTTTCCTTGATTTTCAAAATATATTACTCTAGCTTATAAAAGTTGTTACTAATGTTTATAACATTACAGTAATTATAATGTCTATAATAAAAATAACACCATCAATATTCATAGCATTTGTAAAAAAAAAAAATCTGTGTGCAGACATATTTCACAAAAAAAAAAAATAATAATAAATAACGAGCACAGCATTTTCCCGCCAGCACTGGGTTAAAACAACGATCCAGATATAACTAAAAATCATATATTATCTATTGCCCTCATATTGTACTGCTAAAATCAAGACTGGAAGGTGTGCAGCAGATGAGATTTCTTATTTCAAGCACAAAGATTCATACATATTTGTTCTAGAATTTATTTCACTCTCATGATGAAAGTTCCATGGCCAAAGACAGGAATCCATCATTAATTATATAAGTCAATACAAGGTGTCCTATAATGGTGCCTGCTAGAATCTATCAACATTAATGCATTTAGACACTGGAGTTCCTGCGGCAGAGGTTTTTATCTCAGCTTTGTACACTCTGGAGGGGGGGGGATGAGGGGGTCTTGGGAAAAGAATGCCTTCATTGCAATCATGAAAATCATGAAAAAATAGAAAACCCTAAGCTCACTGTTCCAGCAACCATGGTTTAACAATCCTGAGTCTCTTTTATAGAGATTGAGCAAGACATTCACTTAGTTCTGCAGCAATCTTTGAGCTTTTAGCAATTTCTTGCAAACGCAAACATTTAAACTGCATTTGGTAAACTGATAACTGTCTGGAATAGGACCACTTAGCCACTTCATTCACTTCCACTTCACTCTTCATGCTTCAGCCAAGGCCAACAAACTTCAACAAAATACATATCTTCATCAGAAAACTGCCGGGAAAGAACAGGTCTTGCCAGAATACACATTCTGGGGATTTCCTTGCAATCCCTAGAATAGAAGGCACAGAGGCCACAGCTTCTACTTTCCACATACATTTTTTTATACACTAATACTTATGTTAATGTATTTTTTACAGTCCTTACAACGGTTTTTTCTCTCCGCAATCAGTTGTCCCGTTTTGATTAAGATTATAAAATTATCTTAGTAAGTACTTCAAATCACCTTCCAGAGTATTTGCAACATATAACATCACTATATTGGCAGAACTTTGAACAAAGTACAATAACGCAGATAAACATTTACAAAACATTTTCGTATCTGCCCCTTGTTAAAGCTCTGGTCGCTGCAGCCTATATAACTATTGCAAAAGCTAACAGCTCTTCACCTCGAGAGTTCTGATAAATAGAGTGGCGGAGATGCGTTGGCCTTTGCCGGAGCACCAAAAGGGCAGAGGTCTTCCATCAGCGTTCACATCCAGTAAGATTATGAAAAAAAAAAAAATCCCCGTTTTGATAGCCATTGAATTTTTGTCTTCTAAGCATTTATCACATTTAGTAATGCTATTTCTCCTGAATAAACCTGGAAACTTCACAAACATGCCTGATGTGTCTCAGAAGCTTCTTGAACATGACCTTGCATCACCCAACCTTTATTCCTATTATAAGTTTTCTACATGACTTTGACCTTGCTAAGTCATCATTTCTCTCAACTGCTAATCATGTTCCCCTTTGCAATATCAATATTATACACTGATATTTATTCCTGCTGGTCCATAAATACAGAAATGCAAACCACTTAAGATTGCAAGATAATTATAACTTCAGTTTGAGAACAATCATCTGAAAGTGTCATGAATCTGTTGGATTTTATAATTTATAATCTATCCTGTCTATACTGTGTTATTTAAACCCTAAGCCACAAAAAAATATAACTATTTATGAACTAATCCCAAAGTATGTTTTATGTTCCCTAAAACCTTTGGTGCTTTTTTACCTTAGTAATAAGAGAAGCACAAATTTCAGGCTTATGAATATGCACTCGACAAATTAATGGAATGTTAAGATATGACTGAACTGACTCTCCTGATATTTAGGTTTGACGTTAGCAAAAAAAAAACAAAAACAAAAAAACGGCCTCAATTACTGCCCAGTCACTTCATTTTCAGCACAACTCCAAACAAAATAAAGCTACTGCGTCTTTAACACAACGACAAACTTAACGATCACGTCTTCCAACCCAAGAACAAAGTCAAGCTGTTGTGCAAACGGGATGAACGCAAACTCATCTGCTCACTTGGTGGACTCGCGGCTCCTTCTCGGGCTCGACTGTCATCACCCTTGGGCTCTCGGGGGAGGGAGGGAGGGGGGGAGGACGTGGGCGCCTGGGGGAGGGGGGACAGTGGGAAGGACAGTGGGCGCCGGGGGAGGGGTGACGTGGGAGGACGAGGGCGCCGGGGGAGGGGGACAGGGGAAGGACGTGGGCGCCGGGGGAGGGGTGACGTGGGAGGACGAGGGCGCCGAGGGGAGGGGGGACAGTGGGAAGGACGTGGGCGCCGGGGGAGGGGGGACAGGAGAAGGACGTGGGCGCCGGGGGGAGGGGTGACGTGAGCAGGACGAGGACGCCCGGAGGAGGGGGGACAGGGGGGAAGGACATGGGCGCCGGGGGAGGGGGGTGACGGGGGGAGGGACGTGGGCGCCGGGGGGAGGGGGTGAGGGGTGAGGACGTGGGCGGCCGGCGGTAGGGGGTGAAGCGGGAGGACGTGGGCGTCGGGGAGGGGGGGACAGGGAAGGACGTTGGGCGCCCGGGGGCAGGGGTGACGTGGGGAGGACGAGGGCAGCAGGAGGGAGGGGGGACCCAGGGGAAGGGACGTGGGCGTCGGGGGGAGGGGGGAAGGGGAAGGACGTGGGGCGCCGGGGGAGGGGGTTGACGTGGAGACGCGGGGCGCCGGGGGGAAGGGGGACAGGGGAAGGACGTGGCGGCCGGGGGGAGGGGGGGACAGTGGAAGGACGTGGGCGCCGGGGGATGGGGGTGAAGGGGGGAGGACCGTGGGCGCCAGGGGAGGGGGGAGGACGTGGGCGCGGGGGAGGGCGTGAAGGGGTGAGGATCGTGGGCGCCGGGGAAGGGGGTGAAGGGGGGAGGGGGACAGGGGGAGGACGTGGGCGCCGGGGGAGGGGGACAGGGGGAGGACGTGGGCGCCAGGGGAGGGGGGAGGGGGGAGGACGTGGCGCCGGGGGAGGGGGTGAAGGGGGAGGACGTGGGCGCCGGGGGAGGGGGAAGGGGGAGAACGTGGGTGCCGGGGGAGGGGGACAGGGGGAGGACGTGGGCGCTGGGGGAGGGGGGAGGGGGAGGACGTGGGCGCCGGGGGGACTGCGATAGATTCTCACGATTGGGCGATTTACTACGCGGGTAGAATGTTTAATGTTTTATGCTAAAAAGAAATAAAACATGTAAAACATATGACATCAAATGCCACGTAGCACTATGATAAAGTATTGTGGTGAGAGGGATTTAAAGTTCTTTGTTAGAACCAAATTGAGATTTCAGTGGTCATATGGCTTTAGAAGTTAGAATGGTTGTGAAAGGAGTAAAAAGAGGTGAATACTATTGCTGTTTTTTGTTTTGTTTTGTGTTATTCATCGCAGATGGTTAATTGTTATAATATATAAAGGTCATATAGCACTATGATAAAGTATTATGGCGAAAAGGGTAAAACTGTCGGATTCGGATAAGTAGACACCAGAAAGGAAAAGGAAAGGGGGAAACGAGCCTGCAAAATTAGTAGAGGCCAGGGATAAGGTCCAAGGCAGGGGTTGTCCCCTACATTGGGCCTCTGTCTCTATCTCCTAAGCCCCTCATAACAACGAGCAAGGGACTGCGGGTATTCATCGAAGAGAGAATGGAGGCCTCGTCAAATGTTCCACGAGCTACGACTGAACTATTTATTTCCGAGCAGTGATGGGCATCGATACAAAGAATTGTCTGAGGCGATACCGCTACATGAATACTTGAAATTGTAAGAAAATATCCAAGCAGACATGTAAATATTTGATTCACATGTCTGATATACTGCAAACAATGATTGCAGCAGAAGTGTGTTTTTCAAACTTGTGTAACATTTGATGTAATATAGATTACCAAGAAAAGAAGAGATAATCACCTGCCTCTTTCGCGCTTCCTAAGCGCCACTATCTACAGGTTAAACGATAGAGAAAAAGATACAGGGAGACAGATCTAGATAGATATATAGATGGGTACAGAGGAGGGGGGGGAGATAAAAATAGCGAAGAGAGACAGACAGAGATAAAGATATAGATAGATACATGCAGAAAGAAACAGAGAGCAAGAGAGAGGGGGCGGGAGACAAAGACAGACACGACAGACAGAGAGGGAGAGAGGAAGTGAGCGTGAGTGGGTTAGACATAAAGAGTTTAAAGAGAGAAAGAGATATGTAAACAGATAAATAGAAATACAGAGAGAGAGGGGGAGAGAGAGAGAGAGAGAGGGGGGAGAGAGGAGAGAGAGAGAGAGGGGGGGAGGGGGAGAGAGAGAGAGAGAGAGAGAGAGAGAGAGAGAGAGAGAGAGAGAGAGAGAGAGAGAGAGAGAGAGGAGCGGGGAGGGGAAGGGAGGAGGGAGATAGAGAAAAGAAAGCCAGAGTCATGTACATATATCGATGTACAGCTTTTTTTTATAAATCTCGAGAGAAAAATGCCTCAGCGATACTAATAAACCGATACTGTTATTGAGTAGGCGATATTGATAGCAATAAAATCGTATCACCGATACAGATATCGCGATTCTGGCCATGCCTGTTTGTGGATAGAATATTGATTTTCATCCGAGAGGGAATGGGTCAGAGGTTCGGTGAATCATTACATATGATTTTACCCTTCTCCTTTTTTTTTCAAGGTTGGATATGATTTTCATTACGGTCTCACTCAACCTCACCTCCATCCCTCGAGAGAGAGAGAGAGAGAGAGAGAGAGAGAGAGAGAGAGAGAGAGAGAGAGAGAGAGAGAGAGAGAGAGAGAGAGAGAGAGAGAGAGGGGAGGGGGAGGGGGGAGGGAGGTGTGTGTGTGTGTGTGTGTGTGTGTGTGTGTGTGTGTGTGTGTGTGTGTGTGTGTGTGTGTGTGTGTGTGTGTGTGTCTAATTATGAGAGCTGTTGTGAATCTCTCTCTCTCTCTCTCTCTCTCTCTCTCTCTCTCTCTCTCTCTCTCTCTCTCTCTCTCTCTCTCTCTCTCTCTTTCTCTCTCTCTCTCTTTCTCTCTCTCTCTCTCTCTCTCTCTCTCTCTTTCTCTCTCTCTCTCAACTCACTCACACTATCTTTAACTCCCCCCCTCCCTCTCCAATTATAAAAGAGCTCTAGTGATTGGTCACTTCCAATCTTGCTTTAATACATGCCCTGCTTACTATTTTGAATATGTAACAAAAAATCCCAATAAAAATTATCATAAACTGTGTCTGCTAGATGGAATTTATATTTTCAGTTATTTGTTCAGATGAAATTAAGGTAATGAAACTGTCTTTCAAATGCATGAAAAATCCCTCCCTCCCTCCACTATAAAATAGGAAATTAATCTACTCTCCCTCTCTTGCCCTCCCTTCCTTTCCTCTCTCTCTCTCTCACACTCACCCTCACCCTCACTCCATTTCTTAAGCAAATGCCAAATGCATTTTCTCGAGACTGTTAGTTTCTTTACCATTTTTGCTAGAAATGGAGGTGGATTATTACTTTTCCTACTTCAGTTATATCATCAAGTCCTCATATTTTTGCTCTTTCAGAATTCTGGTTCTCTGGCTGTCAAATGTTAACAAATAGCTTTTTTTTGCTTCTGTATACGATAGACACTGTGTCCAATTGTATAAGTTTCAAAATCAATAAAAAAATTGAAGTTACAATCTGTCTGTCAGGTTACAGGATCCTTATAATTTTTCAGTTTGTGGTTGAATTTCTTTTCTTATTTGCCAAAATGAAAAGAGAAAAAAAAATTGTCAACAGACAGGTCTATTTCTAGGATTTTGAGAACACCAGCCTCTTAATTTTTTTCTTTTTACAGACAAAAAATATTGAGAGAGAGCAACTTCCACTTTATTTCACCTTGGATTGTTTGAATTCTTAAATTAAAAGAAGTATATAGAAACTCTTTACATACCATTTTATTTGTTTATATAATACCAATGAATATCATTAAACAAATGAATTACAATATTTTTGAAGTATGATTATACATGATACACAATGCAAATTTACTAGATTGATAAACTCTATTCTTATTAATAGATTCATCTTTTATCATACTTATTCAAAAGCCTGATTCAAAGACAAGGTAATTGAGATTTCCCGGAAAGAAAGAAAAAAATAATGTTTTTGTTTACTTGTAAGTCTGAACAAAATGTACAAGAGAATTTTTGTGACAGCTTCAATAAGCATATATGCATACAAAGTTTATTATAAAAAGTAACTAATCATCTATAAAAATAATAAATAAATAAAAAAGCAAACTTAGTACTCTTCCTTCTGAAATCTGTATGTTCGGAGAATTCATATTTGAAACAATCTTTGAATACAATTTGCAAAAAAAGCAAAACATACAGAACTGGAAGAGAGAAAATACAACCCAATAGAAATGAAGCAGTGACAGAGAAATAAAGACAAGGGCAAGTGAAGGAAAGTGTAAAGTGATGATGAAATGACAGTTACAACACAAGGAAACAGTGAAGGAGCAAGAACAACTATAAGCATGAGGGCAAAGAGAAGATAAAAATAAATTTATGATGAACAGAGAAAATGGTTATGATGAACATAAAAAAGACAATAGAATTGAGATATTAAGTAGCAGACAAAAATTAAACATAATAAAAGCATAAAGTACAATTACATAACCCTTTCTTTAGTTTCCAAAGACAAACAGCAGATCCTATCTTCAAAAGCGTCATTATTCATTTTCTTCTTTATGGTCTTTGCTAATGTTCTGGTTCAACTGATCATTCTCATATTCCACAAAGTCATCAAACAGACTGGGCCATGCTTCCGTATCATCATAAGAACTCAGATCATCTCCTACAGTTTCAGCAAAATTTAGGAACATATTCCACGTGTCTCTTGGTATACCA